TTATGCTTATAAAGTTACAACCAAATCAAGATTTTTTTTTTTTTGATGATAAGAATTTTTTACTTTCATAGGATATATGTATATTTTAATTTTTAAGTTGCACAATAAAATGTATTTTTTTTTATATTGTTATTCACCATACTCAAATAAGTATGTTATAAATCAAATTTACGATTTCTTATTTTACTTAAATATAAAATTATTATTAAATTATTTAATTTATTGACACTTTTACTTGCAATATTATACACTTAAAATGTTATCTTTTAATTTTGATTTTAATTTTAATTTTGTTTTAAATAAAGTAGGTGAATCTTAATGTTATGTTTAATTTAAAAGAAATAAAGAAGGAATTAGATTTTTTAACAAATCAAATTATATTATTTGTGAATGTTATAATTTAATTAATTAAAAAAATAATCTCTTTGCCCCTTCCCTCTCGTTCAATTTTTTTCCTAAAACCAATAATATATAACTTTTTAAGTTAAATGTTAGCATTTTATATTTTGAGTATAACTACATTAAACTTGTACTTTAATTTATTCTATAGATTTATAGAGTGTGAGTTTATAGTATGCTAATATTAAAGGCATCTTTGGTAAAAAATTAAAGTTTCCTCTACTTTTTATTTTATAGAGTTATTTATATATTTTTATACTATAATATTAAAATAAAATAAAAATAAAAATAATATTTTTAATATTTATCTTCCTTGAATCAATTCTTAATTATTAAATTTTTATTCTCACACTTTTCAAATAAAGAAAAAAGAGATATCTCTCAACTTCCGCATGTAGAACTTAATAACTTTTTACTAATTTTTTCTATATCAATTTCTTTGTAAAAATGAAGAAGTTCAAAATGTGAATCATTGCATCGAATGGCTGGATTAAAGAAGAAAGTTTGCACGGTTTAGATGAGCAGAGGGTAGAAATTCTAGGGTTTGCCTTCTTTTTCTATAAATAGAGGGAGCCGAGAGGGTTTTGGGGCCAGAGAGGAATAGAGGAGAG